AAAAGAAAGAATAAGAAAGCATACCATATGGATCTTTTTTATTCACTAGTTTTACTGGCACTATTGTTCTAAATGGTATATTTTTGTTTGTAATGGTATTTCTATATTTTCAATATTCTAGATAAAGAGTTCGGAATTAATGGATATGCTAACACAACGGATGTAACTGTGAGTGAATACGACACAAATATACGATTTATTTGTAAATTAATTAATTACAATACCACGTCAGTTCAAATCTTATTCAACAATGTCCTTCTAAACGAGCAGAAAAATTCTAACATTCTATACTTTACACGTAAGAATGTAACGTGTTTTGACGCTGGTGTATATACATGCAAAGACAACAGTAAAAAAGAAGCCTCGATTCGTTTATTTGTCAAATGTAAGTACCTACTTTTGTGCATATTCTCAACTGGCTAACAATTTCCATGGTCAGTTAATTTGCCATATAACTAAATGGACCTAAATTTAAATTTTATATCAGCTCACTAGCTTAAACTTTCTTATACCGTCCATGAACGGGCTCATTCAAACGGAGTCTGCAATATTTTCAATTTTGCAGGTTTGTGCTTCCTTTAGGGATTCTATTGCCCTCTTCTTTTTCATGTGTCGAGTTTCTTTTAAAGTCCATTCACATTTTAAAGTGTTTTTGTAAATTTATGATGTATCTATGATTTTAAAGGTGCACCTCGTCCTCTGCAGAATGTTGGTAGAAATATAACAAGTTCAATGTATGTTCCCGTAACACTTAGCTTCACAGCACTAGCGTACCCTGAACCTGGTCCTAAAGGATTCTTGTGGCACAAGGAAGATGGGATCGATTGGATACCTTTATTAAGTAATTCAGATGTTCAGATATCTTCTTCAGGCCTTCAGTCAAACATTACTATATTTAACGTGTCGCTGTGTGATTATGGAACATATCGATTAACTGTTAGAAATGAAGTTGGAATTTATAAGCAAATGATACGCCTTGTTAAGAAGGGTAAGCTGATTTCACATAAAAATTTTGCTAATTTTAATGTTTGGTGCTTTTTATATTGTGGCTGATTTAGTAGACTTTGCGCGCTGCGTTGTCGATAGTGACAACACAACCTATATCGTTGTCACCTTTTTTTTCTTGTCTTCTTGTCGCTAGCGAAACTCGCAATACGGTGCTATGTCGCACTGTCGTCTTTAAGTCCTGTCTCTTGCGAAGCATGTCAAACGGCGCGTTGTCGTGCGTCGCATTGTTGCGATGTCGCCGGGCTTATAAGCCAATCAATCGATTTGAGCCGAGTGACAATGTGGCAGCGCGACAACACGCCGCACGACAACACGCCGTTTGCCATGCATCGTTAGCGACTGGACGACAAGACGAAAATCCGATAACGCGGCGCTTTGTCGTGCTGTCGCTAGCGACAACACGAAACACAAAAGCGTTCCAAATCAGCCACCATATAATTATGCAACAGTAAACTTATCCGAAACTGTTCTTTTTCTTTTTTACGTCTTAATCACACCAATCTAATACAAAATGTACTTCATGTATTTACAATATTAACCTGTGAAATAATAAAAACATGTTAACAAGTATTTCTTATTTTCATAAAACAAAATATCAGTGATGTACAATCTATATCATCCAAACAATTTATGAAGAAATTTTAAAATGATAACACATACCACATGGTTTAGCCACACTTGTTTATGTAGCTTCTTACCGTGTCTGTACGAATAATCAAACTTATACTCGTACGTTGCCCTATGATCATGTCAATCTATTCCGTTCATGTGATGTTAAATCCACCCTTACTATTTTCTGTGAAGCCAATACATATTAAACATGTATAATTGACAAGAGCATCAGTCCAATATCATCAAACAATTGATAAAACATCAATTCTCATTCATCAAAATATTCAAATTATTTAAAAGACTCTGCACAGACAGAAGTTACAGAAAATTATACCGAAGATGATGCAAACAACAGCTGGATGCCAGTTGGCATTGCTTTTGGTTTCCTCGCCATAGCCATTGGAATATATGCAACTGGTATAACCTTTTTGTGGAGGAGAAAAGCTGTATCGAAAGGTATTGTCGCTGAGTAGCTTAGTTTGGTGACAGCAATTATTTCACAACATAAGCTACAAATTGTATTTATTTATTTTTTTTAAATCTAACGTTCATTTGATCAGGACCATGTTTGATATATATCACCTAATACTTACTGTTAAGTTCATGGAAACGTGTTCTGCGAATACCGATAATTTTACTCGTAAATTAGGCAAAATAAACTAATTTAAGTGTGTTCTACGTGATCTTTATTAAAAAAAATAGCACAGGAATATGAAGGCATCTTACCTTTTAAGTTTTAAACAAGCTCTTATCTAAAGTAAAAAAGGAAAAGAAAACCATAAGTTTATTTAAATATATAAGTAGACTTCTTTCTACAGGTGCAAGGAAGCCAAGTGGAGATTCAACAGCACAAACGTAAGTATACATATGTGTTTAGTTGTTTTATTCGTACATACACATCAAAAGGTATTTAAACCTGTTCATAAAATTAGAACAATTAAATTTTGAAACATTTTTGCTGAAGTATCCAAATATTATAGTTCTTGAGTGACGGTGGATGCTTAAATATTGTTAAAGTGTACTGTATGTACCTGAAAATCATTAATGTCCTAGTGCTTTAGATTTTTCCGACAACCGTCCATTCTTGAATTTCTGGAACTTGATGTACAACGCAGCGACCATTTAAGTTTTCAGGAGTCCCTTAAACAATTAGAATTATGATCTCGTGTTTGTTTTAGAACGTACATGAACACAGACGTTGTCGTACACCATGCAGAAGCTGCCAGCATCCGGGATCAACACCTTATTGAAGCAGATTCTGTGAATCCTTACACAGACCTAGCTCATTATTCTAGGGATGATAGATCGACATATGAAGTTCTTAAATGAAAATGATGTAACAGTTATATAACTGGTGACCTGTATTGTACATAATTCAACATACTATATTTCAAACGATACATTTGAGATTTTGAGATTGTCGATAAATGTGTCGGCACAATGGACCATAATAAAATTGACTGGTTGACTTTTAGACTCTTTTCATAGAGTCAGAACTGGTAGATGATGTTGACCCCGAATGATCTCTAAAGACAGATCGGACTTATTATTAACTGTAAAGATAGTTTTAACTCACTGTTTGTCATTTCCAACATTTCCAGACTGATATAGTGACATATATCAGAATCACGATGTTCACATTAAGTAAAATGTACCAAACACAAATTATAAAAGTTTGTGCCCTTTAACCCTGAAACTTCTGAATTGGTCCCATACATTTTTTTGGCTCCAGAAGGAAAAATACATTAAGCAATTATATACTAAGTATAAATGAATTTAATAATCAATAGCAATATATTTATTAATTGATGTTGCAATAATTAATAGCTATATATTTATTTATTGATGTTGCTTTAACATTGCCTTTATTTTAGTAAAGTAAGTGCAGCTTCATAACCTTTTTTGATGTTTCTTTAACTTTTGTCTTGATACCACTTTGTTAACAAACAAGATTCAAGATTCAAATAACTTTATTTGTGTTCAAAGGCCTCCGGCCCAAAATAGCATACATACAACAATATTGTAATATGGTTGCGTCACCTTAACAATGTTTATAAATGCGAACAAAGACTAGTTGTTTATGTTATCCATTAAACATATACATAAAACATAAGCTTCCTTAATATGGTTATATCACGTGTTCTTATTAATACATAAAAATCATGTAGTTCTCTTCCGCCAAAATACCAATTGAATAAATACTTATCACGGATTTGTTTGTATTTTTTACATATAAAGAAAGCATGGAATTCACAATCTAGCTATACTATCATTACAAGTTGTACACAAACGTTCTTCCCTTGGGATATTATTATGTCTGCCTATTTCTATACCTAATTTATGGTTGGAGCAACGAAAATTACAAAACGCCCTTTTATGTTTAAATGGTATTTTATTTATAAGTATCGTTCAACATTTAAAAGTGATTTAAATTTATTATAGTGAAAACATCTACTAGAATTCGTTATATCTTCATACCATTGTTGAGTACAACAATCAATAAGTCTTTGTTTAAAAAGTTTAAGGAACATATTCGTGTCACCAATTTCTTGAGATATCCAGACAAAACCAAAACCATATCTAAACAGTACATGTTTTACCCAACATATTCGACCTACATCGTCTAGTGACTTCAACATTAAATAACACTGTTAAGGATATCTAGATGAAGGCTTGGTCAGAAGTTTACAAAAATATCTTATGCAGTTTGCCATGTACGAAATACTTAAGGGCAATCTACCACATTCCTGTATTTGTAGTTTTTTTTAACGGATAAATGTTTTTGATAAAAGTCGTTCTGCACATATTCAATAGTTTGGCTATATTCAAAACCCCATATTTGTGATCCATAGCATAAAATTGGTTTAATCATATGATCAAAAAATTTAAACAATTCATTACTTAGAAAATGACCAAGATTTCTGATAATATTTTAACGATAATATGTCCTTTTGGGCTTGAGATGCCATTTTTTCCTTAGCGTGAGTCCATGATAACTGAGGAGTGAAAATGAGTCCCATATACTTGTACATAGATGTTATATTTAAGCTTTTACCTCGGAAATATCATTTCTCATAATTACGTAAAGGACCACCATTACGGAAAACAATTACTTCTGTTTTATCAATTCCAGTATTATAACAAAAAGTGTCAATTACATTTAATTGTCGTTGTAATTTATACTGTCTCTGCACAGTTTGCTACATCATCGGCAAACATAAGACATAATATATCAGGTATATCATTAGTAATAAATATTCCTGTGCCACAGTTTTGTCTAAGTAAGATAGACAACTCATTGATAAAAAGAATAAAAATAGTCGAACTAAATTTATCTCCCTGTCTTGTTCCTATGTTACACGGGAAAAATCAGTTAAACCATTTTGTGTTTTCACACAAGACTTTAAGTCGGAATATATACATTTTAAACCGGTAAAAAATTATCATGAATGCCTATTTTCTGCAGTGAATCAAATAATTTTGAATGGTCAATTTTATCAAAAGCTTTTCGGAAATCGACATATAAACAATCAAAACGATCACCTTTTTTAGACAAGAATTTTTGTATCATGGCTTGTAAACAGAAAATATTATCAATAGCTGAGTAATTACACCTGAAACCTGCCTGACATTCGTCTATTTTATTATTTTCTTCAGCCCAATTGTATAACCTTTTATTGACAACGCCAGAAAATATTTTATACATTGTACATTTATTTGTGATAGAAATGCCCCGATAATTGTTCGGTAAGGAAGACGACCCAGACTTGTAAACTGACAAGTATTTGGAAAATTTCCTGTTGAAAGAATTGTAATAAATGTTCGCCGATGTCCTGGCATGAATATCTAAAAAAATGTGCAGCTTCATATCTATTTATTGATGTTGCTTTAACAGAACAGAACAGAACAGAAATTTTATTCAAGATTTGTACATGGTACATCATCTTACAATTTATACAATTTAAATATACTATACAATAGTCACATGACATTTAATGTACATAAATATAGCGATAGATCTTAACATACATACTGTTAACAATGAAAATATAGATAAAGAATACAACATGAAATATTCGTTTTACTTCTTACATAGAGGATTAACCATTCATTATTACATATAATAAGACATGGATGTTCTATTAGCCATAGCATCTCTGATATAGTAAGCCAAGTTACACAATATTTTCTTATTATTACAATTTAACAATTCAATAAATTTGAACATACTTGGTCTAACATACAATGTAGTAGTATCTCTTAATATATTTTTTACGAATTTCAAGAAAACAGGTACATACTAATATAAAATGGTATTCATCTTAAATATCACGAAGATTACAATATATACAATATCGTTCATTTCTAGGAATTCTGTTTACACCATAACGTCCGGTTTGTATCAGTAATGCATGTGAGGACATACGTATTCTACTTATATAAGTTCTAAGATTTCGTGGTATAAGATCTAAATAATGTTCATAACCAAACCCACTCTTCAAATTATTATACAAATTCAAAACTGGGCTACCATTAATGTCAGAATGCCAGTTTTGTAAAAAGTTATCTATTACACGTTGCTTAAATTCGCAGATAAAAGATTTATGACAAAAACACCCTTGATTCTCCCATACATCCATAAAACCATAAGTGTACAACATATCTTTGACATTAGATAACCAATTACGTTTACCACTTGTACAATCATTATAAGACATTTGATATATTTCTTTCAAAATAATATTATCAGTTTGTAGTAGCTTTAACCAATATTTTACAATTTTTAAATATCTTGTTACAAACAAGGGATAACGTGCGAGTTCTCCGTAAACAGCTGCATTACATGTATTTAACCTAACATTTAATATCCTTATACAAAATCTGAGATGTACTCTTTCTATTTCCTTTGACTTGCTGTTACCCCATATTTCAGATGCATAACAAAGAATAGAACCTACAAAAGAATCAAGTAACTGGCATAAGATTTTAGGTTTTAAATTGTATTTCTTACAATTAATAAGTAAAATATTCGAGGCCTTCATAGCTTTTCCAACTAACTGCTCTTGATTTAAAATAAATGTGCCAGTATAGTTAAAAATAACACCGAGGTAATTAAAATCATTAACAACATCTAGCTTTATGTCATTATACAAAAAAATCTTCTTCTGGTAATAACCCACCACGTTTCCCCTTGACATAGTCCTATAGCATATTCGAAAAATTCAGAAAAGGTTTTACAATGTTTTACACAAGATTTTACCTTATTATACATATCTTTTACTATACGTAGAAGTTTACCTCTTATACCAAACTTATATAATTTCAACCATAAGGCATTTCTATAAACACAATCAAAAGCCTTTCGGAAATCAACAAATACACAATATAAACGTTTATTTTCATTTAAATATTTTTGTACTACAGACAACAATATATATAAAGCATCAACAGTAGATTTTCCTTCACGGAATCCAAATTGAGCATCAGATAATACATGATTTTGTTCACAATAATTCATTTTTCTCTTATTGATAACTGATGTAAATAACTTTGACATACAACTAACAAGTGTTATGCTTCTATAATTGTTAGCGTTCTCAGTGTCCCCCTTTTTATGTAACGGTATAATAATACCCTCCGTCCATGATGTTGCTTTAACATTTGTCCTTATAACAATTTGTTAGTAAAGTGTGTGTTAACTCATTTTATATCGGTCTATCACTAATTTTCTAATATATATTTACAAGGCACATTATGCCTCAAAAATGCAAATTATTTTTCTTCTTTAGAAAAAGCAAACAAGATTTTTTAAACATTTAAATAATGGTTTTATGGCATGTTTATCACATGAGTAAATTATCGCTGAATGTGAAATTACTCGTCATAAAATAGCAAAATTATAAAGAAAATGTTATTCTGACTTCCATACAAAACACTGTGTCACTATAACTGTACTAGTTGCCAAAAGGCACCAGAAGCAAAAGATAAACAAGCTAATTGGCAAATTGAAAACTGTAACAGGACACCAAAAAATATGAAGTTCAATTTAACATAGTCTTAATAGAACTCAATCGTTATGTTAATTAAAATAGAATATTTACATGTAAAATTATGTGTTTATAGAATTGAAATTTTAAGTTGTCAGCATGATTATATGTTAAAGTGCTTTTAGTATGTTAAATCTAGTATATGTTATACTATCGTGAAATAGCCCGTAGCAAGTGTTCAAAAATGTTTAATTGTGTAACGAAAGTACATTTTGGCTCAACAATAAGGAAAACATTTGTTATGAATGTTGTATTTTTGAAAGATAAATAAGCTGTTTTAAAGTGTTATGATACAGTGTTAGATATGTACATAGAAAAAATGCCAAGCTCAAATAAAAGTTTGGGTATGTTTTAACACTATAAACGTCTGAAATGAGGCAATACATTTGCTAATCCTGGAGTTCTGAACATTCTAGTCAAAGTGTTGGAGATTCCGATACAAGAATATCATAATTGCGCAGCCAATGGTATAACACCTGGTCATTCTGCACGAATGTACAGGGTAATCTGGCTCTATAATCGTGGCAAAGGTTAATCCTTAACCGCATAAACTCTAAGTTAATGGTATAACTTTTATCTAACTAAACGACTGAAACTCGGAGATAATGACATAAACCTTATTTAAATTGAATTAAACCGTATAGTTTCTAGCATAACGGTATAAATATCAAAGTTATCGGCGAAAATCATTTACTTAACATCATTAGGCTCTTACACGTAGTTAAAGGCACAGCATATTTCCATAAAGGCCCTCTTCATGTCTTAGAAAGCTATCATTTTTATTTCTAAAAATATATATATCTTTGGTAGTTTCCAAAAACATAGTCATTTGCTGTATACAAGAACAATCTCTTGCATCTTTAATTCTGTTGGCATAATGGTATAATTATGTTGAATTAGTATTTTGTATGGACATCGAAATACTACTTTGTTTACTATTTTGTTGCTATTTTTTTCAATTGTAAAACATGTAATATGCTCCTAATCCATAATTTAAGCATTATCAAATACATGTCTGATTTTTCTAAATAATTATAAAATAAGGATTTCTGAGGCATAGTGTAATGACATAGATACAATTGTAATTGTAAACCTTGTCACTGAAATATTAAACAATAAAAAACATTTACTAAATAACTTAAACATTAAACTTACTTGCACAAACTTGATAATTAACGGCGTAACGTTACAGTGAATTTTAGAAAGGGTGTCATACTATACTCATCAGTCGATTATATAAAATAATTTTATATATAATTTTTACACATTGTTGTAAATTCATCCTACGAGTAGTTTTTTAGTATCTAGTGAATAAGGGAAGTATAATTGTTTGTTTTATGTACGGCAATATAAGTGATAAAATATACATGATGTACTAGATTTATAATCTGCATTTTGTATTAACTTCCTACTTCATAATCTGTATATATACATATGCTTAAAGTACCTCCGAAAAATGAATAGATATATAAAACTGAAGATATGTTATGTAATGATGGTCTGGATATTACACTGCAGTTATAATGGTAAGTCTAAACTTATATAAACATACAATATGCTATTTGTTAAAATAGTCTTTGTGACAAACGTCAAATGAACGCACTTCTATTAACTTTGTGACTCGTCATCGTTACAGAAATATATCAGATATAGATATCGTTCTTAATACTAAATATATATAAAATGATCCTATGTTGTTTTTTTTAATTTTAAGCTTGAAAACAAACACCGTTTTATTGTTTAAATATTACACAGAAATTAAGTTAAATCTGAAACGAGATAAATATCTGCAATTAACATATTTACCAACAAATTCAGTTAAGAAATCTAAAGTTATTGATTATCAATTACAATTTCTTTAACATAAAAATGGCAATAACCCTTTCCGACCTGTTTTAACTGCAATACATGCTATCCACAACCTTTACCAAAAGTGTAATGCTTAGAAGTGACAATATTGTATATATTCATTTTTACAATTGAGTTGAATTGACATAAAACACATTAGTTAGAAGTATCTATTAAGAATACTTTCACAGTAGATAAACAAACCTTGCGAGACTATACAATTCATTGTTCACCATATCGTGCGATGACAATCACTTATAACTTCCGATCATTGTATCTTTCTCAGTAGCCTATGTATTGTACATTGTACTTTTCTAATGAGTAAAAGAAGTAGACCCGTTAAGATATTGTAATATTGCTTAAAATAGGCAAACAATGAAAAACTAACAGATTATTTTATGTTGTAGTTATCTATTTTATTAACATAAAGTTTATTTGCTTCTATCATAAATTCTTTGAGGAACATTTAAAACAAATCATCGTCAGAAAGTTCGCATTTAATCACGCAATGGTGAAAGAAAAAAGAAAACACAGTCATGAGAATCGGACCTGTAAACTAATACTTGTTAAAAAGCTAATTAAAGCATTTAATTGTGTATATTTTTGTCACATTGTTTTTCAAGTATTTGGATGTACATCCACAACTGCTCAGTACAAACAGATTGGTGATAGTGTAACACTAGAGTTCCAGGCAACGATGACAAACTCTTTAGACACTTCTATAATTGTATCAAATGTCATATCGTCAAACAACGGCAGCACACTTTTAGGAATAGCTTATAGAGATGGGGTGCTTCTAAACAGTCCTACTTGCAATGGTTGTACAATAACTGGTAATGTTACAACAGGAGACCTCTCTATTAGACTGGATAATCTTCAAACATCAAATAGCGGTACATATAAACTTTCGGTAACGGAAGCTATCCATGAAGTAAAGGGGTGTATAATTCTGTATATCTTAGGTAAGAATAACCTTAAATTAATAAAATAGCAAAACACATTTATTCATTCACAATTTCAATTTTCAACGCCTTTGTTTATTATTTTGTTTTCTTTCAGTGAGGTACTTTTGAACCAAGATAACAAAGATCCAGATATGCCTGCGTGTTTAGTTTTGTAAGGAGGCCTTTATGCCAAACCGTGTCAAACACGTTGTTGTCAAAGAAAACCGTAGACCATTGTCTAGTGATTTACAAAGGGTATCATAGATGAAGGCCATCTGATTTATTGTAAAATCACCAGGGATAAAATCAGACTGGGCAGTAGATAAAAATTTATTTACTTTAAGAATGTTAAAGATGTGCTTGAATATAATCCGCTCAATAACTTTTTTCTGTATTGTTCAAAAGTGGGTATGTAGTTATTTGGAAGAGATGCATCGCCATTTTGGTAAACTGCAGTGACCTTTGCCTCTTTCCATGTAATTGGAATTTCACAACATCGTAGGGAAGCATTGAATAAGTCACACAAGGCGAAAGATAACTAGTTCGTGAGAAGCTTCAAGTAAATTTATATTGCTTTAACATTTGTACCGTCAGGACCTACTACTTTATCAACTTATAACGGAAGAAGAACATTTTAAAGGAAAGAAATCTTAGTTCAGGGGAGAAATATTTCTTGATCTATTAGTGCTAGAGTTATGGACATTTTCACATATGATATGAGTAATGATATGTATCATATATTTATATTTGAAGTTTAAAGTAAATACCTAATGAAATAAAGAATTGATTGTAAAAATACCATTTTTAAGGATTTTAGATTAAAAAGGGAAATAATCTAAATTCAGGGAGAAGTAATTCTAGATAAATTCATGCTAAAGTTACAAACAATGTCACACATCATGTATTTAATGATGTAGACAATATATTTGCAGTTTGAAGAAAATACCTTAAGCCTATGTGAGTAGGTGAGCTCTCTATACACTTTTTAAAGTCAAGCAAAAAATCGTTTCATAATTTTTTTATAATTATTTATTATTTCATTTTTCCCCAGGCAAACCAGAAAAACCGACAATACAATCTAACAACAACAACAGTATTGAAGGAATGAATGTGAAGCTAACGTGTATGAGTAGATCAACTACAAATCCCTCAGATCCTAACCTAAATCTCCAGTACGACTGGAGAGTGGACACTGAAGATAATCCACAAGTATATGAGTACTCACAGACAAAGAATATACTGACCATCAAAAATCTAGATAGACAAGATGCGAAAAAGAGATTTACTTGCAAGGCAACAGAGTCTGGTTCTAGTGTTACGGGTTTGACCTCAAATTATAGTGATGAGTTTATGCTCAACGTTTTATGTAAGTTATGTTTATTTTTTTAATTCAATGTCAAACAGTATTGCAGATTAAAAATTGACTAGTCTCTGTGTCAAATTTTAGTATCTGTTTTATGTTTATCTCGAAAGATTTCCGTTTGTCGTGAAAAGCTGTCTGCATGTTTCGTCGGTGTTGGTTTCCTTAGTGTCGAATTAGGAAATGTGTATGGGCGCACAGCTTCTGTAAAGCGATCATTTTTATAATTACAATGAGCAAAAAAAAGTTTGTCTCAAGTGAAATGGTTTTATTTAAGAAAAACAATCCATTTGAATTGCTGCAACAAAACAATAGTATGCATAAATAAATTATCTTGTATTACAACAATATATATTTAAAGTCTGATAGTACTAAATTAACGAAGAACGAGCCATATCTTGTTGAATATATGATAACAGTGGAAGATGCTTGGCAATTTCATGCGTGTTCACATACTGTATTGTAGATGGACCGGATGGTTGTGAAATTAGTGTCAAGTCGCCTGTCACAGTTAAGGTCGGAAGTATTTCACCATTAATTAAGTGCAGGTCTGATTGCTATCCCTTGTGTACATATAAATGGACGAATGCATCCTCTGGAAGCAGCATTGTTTCAGCTAATGGAGACTTTGAGATAGATTCAATTACTAGATACCACACTGGTAATTATGCATGCGAGTGCGGAAATTCAGCGACTGAAATTGGAACAACGCATACGGAAATCTTACAGATAATTGTTTGATGTAAGTTATTCAACTTAAACGATATTATTATTATTCTAAAATTACTAAAATGATATTGAAGTAAGTGCAAAATCTTCTTGTACATAACAAACAGATGTACAACACTGACCACGAGGCATGTCTTATTTATTCAACCAATGTTTACAATCTTTCTTATTTGTTAATTAAATCAATGTTTACAAGATTTCTTATTTGTTAATCAAATCAATGTTTACGAGCTTTCTTATAATGATTTATTAATCAAATCAATGTTTACAAGAGATTTCTTATCAATTAAATCAATGTTTACAAGCTTTTTTTTTTATTAAATCAATGTTTACAAGCTTTCTTATTTATTAATTAAATCTATGTTTACAAGCCTTCTTATTTATCAATTAAATCAATGTCATATGTTTGTGTCTGTTGTGTCTTTGTTTAGATGCAGCCTTATATACATTTTATGTACTTCAACGCGAGTCGAAACCATTTAAAACACTTAATAATTCTGGTCAAAACATCAAATGAATTGCAGATTTTAGCTTATTTAAGTAGTAGAATTGTTAGAGGAAAAAATAAACATTTTTTTCCTTTTATTAATTCATTTATTTAATTTTTATTTTTTTATAAAAAAAGGTTGAAACTTCTTATGTTATGAATGATTATAATTTAGTTTCAGAAAGCTTTTTTTAAAGTTTTATGTAACTTTGATATATGTTTATGCCTTTTAAACATTTATGTTAAAAGGTAATTATATTAACATGTAATCAAGACTCGAAAATTCCCAGATATATATGATAATATGGCCTGTTGTTTTAAAAAAAACATAAGACAGATATTATTATTTAATGGAATCACCTTTTTATGACTAGAATCACTCTTATATGGTTGAATAGGTTTTCCCGTTTTGATTCTTTTCCTTGCTTTTTTGTTTTGATACGCAAGAAAGAGTCTCAGGCTTACAAAGTTTTTGCTAATATGAACCGACGGAAGGAAACTGAAATTACTTCCAGAAAGAGCGATGTAAAAAAAGCTTGTGATAGAAGTCTAGGTCACACTGAGTCATCCAAGATCATTATTTAAGAATACATCAAAGTGAGAATACTTTGTAATTACTGTGCCTTTGCTATATCTGCCTGTATATTAAAAATAAGAACGCGCATCGTATGTATCTTTTTTTATTAAACTTTGACGCATCGTTAGTTTTACCAGCACTTTTGTTTTTCAATGGTAGCCCGGGGTTTTATGATATCACGGTACTTAACGATTATTGGAAAATATTCAAATATAAATATCATACATGAATAAGATTTTCCTTCTATTTAATCAGTGGACCTTTTCCAAAACTGCTTGTCAAAAAATTATTTAAAAAAAAATCCAATTGACATTTCTTAAACTATTTCCAATGTCTGCCATTATGGGTTATTTCAGAGGAGTTTACTACGGTATCACGGTAGTCCCCAAAAATGCAAGTATGGAAGGATAGATGGGTCAAAATCTTCTAGTTATGTTGTGAAAAACTTCCAACAGTTAACTTGCTATAAAATTCAAACTATATGAAGAGATGATATGTCAGTTTATGTGATTATAACATATCTATATTGACTGTGTAAAAACATTTAAGGAAAATAGTGGTAAAATATGACAATTTTATAAAATATTTTTCTTGTCTCGAATACATTCATTATTTACAAAATTGAATTTATTGGCAGATGAAAATGAATTGAGTGTGCCAGTTTTAAAAATATTAGCATCATCGTGTGTTGCTTTTATTAGCAGTCACAGAAAATGTAAATACCATGATATCATAGAACCCGTGATATCATAGGAACCGAGTATATATATCTGTTTGTAATGGTATTTCAATTTTTACAATATTCCAGATATAGAGTTCGGAATTGAGGGATATGCTAACAAAACGGATGTAACTGTGATTGAATACGATACAAATGTACGACTTATTTGTAAATTTATTAATTTCAATACCACGTCAGTTCAAATCTTATTCAACAATGTCCTTCTAAACGAGCAAAAAAATTCTAACATTCTATACTTTACACGTGAGAGTGTAACGTGTTTTGACGCTGGTGTATATACATGCAAAGACAAAAGTAAAGAAGAAGCCGCGATTCGTTTATTTGTCAAATGTAAGTACCTACTTTTTTGCATATTCTCAACTGGCTCACAATTTCCATGGTTAGTTAATTTGCCATATAACTAAATGGACCTAGATTTAAAATTTAAATCAGCTCGCTATCTTAAACTTTCTAGTACGCTCAGTCAAACGGAGTCTGCAACATTTTCAATTTTGCAGTTTTGCGCTTCCTTTAGGGATTCTATTGCCCTCTTCTTTTTCATGTGTCGAGTTCTTTTAAAGTACATTCACATTTTAGAGTGTTTTTGCTAATTTATGATGTATCTATGATTTTAAAGGTGCACCTCGTCCTCTGCAGAATGTTGGTAGAAATATAACAAGTTCAATGTATGTTCCCGTAACACTTAGCTTCACAACACTAGCGTACCCTGAACCTGGTCCTAAAGGATTCTTGTGGCACAAGGAAGATGGGATCGATTGGATACCTTTGTTAAGTAATTCAGATCTTCAGATATCTTCTTCAGGCCTTCATTCAAACATTACTATATTTAACGTGTCGCTGTGGGATTATGGAACATATCGATTAACTGTTACAAATGAAGTTGGAATTTACAAGCAAATGATACGCCTTATTAAGAAAGGTAAGTTGATATCACATAGAAATGTTTTTGGCTTGCAGCCACGGCTGCAAGCCATTTCATATGGAAAACTTGTTCCGGTTAGGTGGTTTCCTGCTTACATCTGTTGGTGCATGATTGAACGGGTAACCAGCTGCGATCGTGCCAATCGCAACCTTTCGGCCTTTTCCGTCACTCTTCGGATTAATGATAATAGCCGATGTAGTTCCGATTGCAATCGTGACAATTCGGGCGATTCCGCCATACTAAGTAATATAACGGAAATCTAAGCTATTTTAGTTACTTCGGTAATCCCAGTTTGTTTATATAAATAGGATTTCTATTTTTACTTGATTACCGTAATAAATTATAAACGAAATTGTTCCGTTTCAATTGTTTTTCAAGACGCAAAAGTTAGTTTCTTTTATAATTGTTTTTTGTCTGTATCAGTTTTATACAATAGAGAATAGTAGTAGTATTCCGTCTTTAAAGGGTGGTCCTGCATGATCGAGTTATATTTAGATCTACTGAACTGGTGAGGTAATCTAAAAATAGCCCATGCATATCATTAACCTTGCCACATAGCGCATCGTCTATTTGTGATCGTGTAACATAGTTGATACATGTATGCTTCTTAATTAGTGCATTTACTTGTCTATAAAGCAAAGGAATGATTTCGCTGCGAAAAAGGGGAAATGAAATGTGCACACTTGTTTTCCTTCAGACTTCAGTATCACGTTAGTATTTTTACGATTGATCATTTTCTTTATTAGTTTTATACAATAGAGATAAGAGAACTAAATAAACCCTTTATGATATACAAATACCGTTATTCAAAAAAAAATGTGATAATACATTGAAACAAAAAAAAAAAAACCATTTTAAAGGGTTGGGATGAAGGCACAACTGTGCAAGCCTTTCCTTTTAAAAGGAAACTTTATTATATTTAATGTTTGGTGCTATTTATGCAACAGTAAACTTATCCGAAACTGTTCTTTTTCGTTTTTTATGCCCCCACAGAGTGGGAGCATATAGCGTTGCACTTGTCCGTCCGAGTGTCCGTCCGTCCGTCCCGAAATCTTGTGAACGCAACTCCTCTTAAACCGGATGGCAGATTTTGCTTAAACTTCCAGGGATGAACAACCTTAATGTGTAGATGGTAGTAAAGGGATGGATTTTTGCTGCGACCAAATTTAACAGAATTATGGCCCTTTGTTGATTTTTTCACTATATACTATGTAGAAATTTTGTGAACGCAACTCCTCTTAAACCGGATGGAAGATTTTGCTTAAACTTCCTGGGATGAACAACCTTAATGTGTAGATGGTAGTAAAGGGATGGATTTTTGCTGCGACCAAATTTAACAGAATTATGGCCCTTTGTTGATTTTTTCACTATATACTATGTAGAAAATTTGTGAACGCAACTCCTCTTAAACCGAATGGCAGATTTTGCTTAAACTTCCAGGGATGAACAACCTTAATGTGTAGATGGTAGTAAAGGGATGAATTTTTGCTGCGACCAAATTTAACAGAATTATGGCCCTTTGTTGATTTTTTCACTATATACTATGTAGAAATTTTGTGAACGCAACTCCTCTTAAACCGGATGGCAGATATTTTTATACGTTGCCCTTTGATCATGTCCATCTAATCCATTTATGTGATGTTATATCTACACTTATTATTTTCTGTGAAGCCAATACAAGACATAAACATGTATAATTGACAATACCATCAGTCCAATGATAGATATATAACATAAATTCTCATTCATCAAAATATTTTAATCGTTTAAGACTCTACACAGAAAGAACTTGTGAAAAAAAGTGATACCGAAGGTGATGCATACAACAGCTGGATGATAGTTGGTATTGTTTTTGGTTTCCTCACCATAGCGATCGGATTCTACGCAACCGGTATTACCTTTTTGTGGAAAAAAGCTGTATCGAAAGGTATAATCGCTGTGTTTTGAGTTTGATGATAGAAATCATCTCATAACAAAAGCTTCATAGTATATTTATTAGTCCCCTACCGGTTTACCAGAGGGGATTTTAGGTTTACCCTCCGTCCGTCTGTCTGTCCTTCCGTCTGTCTGTCAGTCCGTCCACAAAACTGGATCCCGCGATAACTTGAAAAGCACTGAAAATATTTTTATGAAACTTGATATATGGATAGATGGCAGTATGGAGATTATGCACGTCTTTTTCTTTTCTTCCTATGTTGAAAATTCTGGTTGCTATGGCAACAAATAGGCTGAAAATATGGCAAATTTTACACATAAACTGGATCCAGTGATAACGCAAAAAGTACTGGAAATATTTTTATGAAATTTGAAATATGGGTAGATGACAGTCTGGAGATTATGCACGTCTTTTTCTTTTCTTCCTATGATGAAAATTCTGGTTGCTATAGACTGAAAATATGGCAAATTTTACACATAAACTGAATCCAGTCATAACTCAAAAAGTACTGGAAATGTTTTTTATGAAACTTGACATAATATTATGGGTAGATGGCAGTCTGGAGATTATGCATGTCTTATCTTATCTTTTTCTTCCTGTTTTGAAAAAATATTGGTTGCCTTGGCAACAAATAGGCTTAAAACATGGCAAATATTACAATATTTGTGATTAGTCAAAAAGAGCTGAACATTTTTATGAAATTGCATCTTTAATTCAAGAGTTATCTCCTCTTTAAGAATTTTGCTTTTAAAAATGTAATATTTTGGTAACAGGGATGTTTCAAATATTATCTTTAGAGTGTCATTCAGTCTGTCTGTCTGTCTGTTCATAAAAACTGTTTCCTGTGATCATTTTTAAAGAACTTTTCCAACAAATTTACTTAAAATATAGAAAAAAATTGAAACATTAGTGAATGGCCAATTGCCCTTCAGAATGTTGATGGGGTTCTAACCGGTAGGGGACTTATGGATTGCTTGCAATACTATGATAATTGCTTGTTTTATTGATTTTATTCATTAAAGCAAATAAGGGAAAATATACTACAGGTTTATTAAAGTATATTAGTTTATATAAGTATACTTCTTTATACAGGTGCGAGGGAGCCAACGGGAGAATCAACAGCACAAACGTAAGTATACATAATTTTGTATTTAGTTGGTTTATTCATATATACATATCAAATATCAAAAGTTTATCATACCTGATATTTCATGTATAGAAGTGCCAAATATTACAGTTCTAAAGTGACGATGGAAGCTTTAAAATTGTAAAAAATGCAATTTTTTTCCTGAAAATTACTAATGTCCTAGTGATGAAGGCTTATCGGACATTCATCAATTTTTCATTTCGTATAAATGGAATACGATGTATATTACATCGCCAATTTAAGTTTTTCAGGACGTTCAATACGCAAACACTTATACTTATGTATTTGTTTCAGAACGTATGTGAACACAGACGTTGCCGCACAGCATGTAGAAGTTAACAGCACACAGGATCAACACATCACCGAAGCTGAGTCTGTGAATCTATACACAGACCTAGCTCATTATTCTAAGGATGATAAATCGACATATGAAGTTCTTAAAGGAAACTGATATAACAATTAATAACAAACTCGTGATCTAAATTGTACAAAATTCAAGATAATATATTTGTTATAAACAATGCATTTGAAAAATTGTCCTTTATTAGATTGACTGGTGAACTTTTAGGCTCTTTTCATAGAAATCAGAACAGGTAGACCCCATTAGGTCTCTTAAGACAGGTCGGACTGTATTATTAACTGTAAAGTAAATTCTAATTTTAATTGTAATTTACTGTTTGTGTATCATTTCCAGCATTCCCAGACTGATATAGTGGTATATATCAGAATCACAAAGTCCACATTTAGTAAAATGCATCAAGCACAAGAAAAAAAATTGTATGTGTCTTTTTACCCTTAAGCTTCTGAAATGGGCCATTGCGTTTGCTTATCTTGGAATTTGGAACATTCCATTCAAAGTTTAAGAGGTTTCGATACAAGAATATCAAAAGTGCGCAGCCAACAGTATAAAACCTGGTCATTCTGGACGAAACAAAGGATAATCGTTTTTTTTTTGTTGTTGTTGTTTTTTATGTTTTTGTTTTTTTTTGTTTGTTGTTTTTTTGCTTGCTTTTCATACTATGCATAAATAGTTGTTTGTGTGTTTGTTTGATTGGATTTTACGTCACACCACACAGTTAAGTTAATCTGGCGGCAGGTTTACTGGTGGAGGAAGACCTCAGGTGCCCTTCCGTGCATTATTTCAGGCACAAACGGGCACCTGAGTAGAACCACCGACGTTCCGTAAGCAGAAATAAAAGTAAATAACTAAATATTTAATAGCTATATATTTATTGATTGATGTTGCTTTAACATTTTCCTTTATTTCAGTAAAGTGCGTGCAGCTTTATAACTTTTTTTGATGTTTCTTTAACCTTTGTCTTTATATCATTAAGTAAATAAGTAAGTGCAGCTTTGTATCTATTTATTGATGTTGCTTTAACAATTGTCTTTTTGTCATTTTGTAAAATAAATAAGTGCAGCTTTATATCTATTTATTGATGTTGTTTCAACATTTAGCTTTATATCATTTTGTTAATAAAGTAAGTGAAGCTTGATATCTATTTGTTGATGTTGCTTTAACATTTGTATTTATGTCATTTTGTTAGTAATGTAAGTGCAGCTTGATATCTTTTTAATGATGTTGCTTTAACATTTGCCTTTATTTTTGTAAAGTAAGTGCAGCTTTATATCTATTTATTGATGTTGCTTTAACATTTGTCTTTATATCATTTTGTTAGTTGAGTAAGTGCAGCTTTATATCTATTTGTTGATGTTGCTTTAACATTTGTCTTTATATAATTTTGTCTTTGTCATTTTCTTAGTTAAGTAAGTGCAGCTTTATATTCATTTATTGATGTTGCTTTAACATGTGTCTTTATATCATTTTGTTAGTTAAGTAAGTGCAGCTTTATATTCATTTATTGATGTTGCTTTAACATTTGTATACTGTATATCATTTTGTAAGTAAATCATGTAAGTATGTTATCATGGCCTATCATTGTAATTTTCCAATATCTTACATAAAAGGCAGAAATGTTTTGTTTTTCTTTAGGTTTTTTGGGGGTTTTTTTGTTTGTTTGTTTTTTAAATTTTGTTTTCCTTTCTTAAGAAAGAGCAAACTTGAGTTTTATAACATTTAAATAATAGTTTCAAGGAATGTTAGATGCTTATCCGAGTAAAGTAGCGCTGAAAGTGACATGGTTTGTCACAGAAGTAGAAAAATGTAAAGAAAGTAGTATTCTGACTCCCATACAAAAAACTAAATCACTTAAACTGTACATATTGACAAAAGACAACAGAACCAAATGATAAATCAAGTAATTGGCAAATGAGTAACATTTTAAAAACTGTAATAGGACACACAAACAATTATTATGTTGAATATAACATTATGTCAGAATATATCTGAACTTTTAAATGGTAAATATGTAAATTATTATGTTTAAACAAAACATTATGTGTCTAGAGCATTGAAATTTTCAATTATGAACATATTTTTATTTAAAGAGTTTTTTTAATATATCCCATTTATTATATAATCGTTTTATAGTCCGTAGCGAGTGTTCAATTTTGTATAATTGTTTAACGATGTGCCTTTGCTTTACAATTTTTGCTCATTACAATGAATGTTCCATTTTTGCAAGAGAAATAATGTGTTTTAAATATTTAAAAAATTGTAATAGATCTGTACATTTAAGTTTTTCATATTTTGTACAAAGGCTTGCATGAATCTGTTGAAGCAGACGACATCTTTCTAGGATAGCTTATAATTACATGTGTACGTGTATTTTAAACTTTCATTTTTAAGTTTGATTAATGTCAGAAATTTACAGGTACTTTCTAATAGATGAAATATAGAAATAGGGAGATGAACGAAACCTACATACGTTCATTTAGATGAAAGAATTATGTATCTTTATACATTATCATTCTTTGAAAACCTATATAATCAAAAACAAACTTTCAGATGTCATATTTTGATACTATGTACAAATAAAGTTTCCTTTTAAAAGGAAAGGCTTGCACAGTTGTGCCTTCATAAAGTGTTTATTTAGTTTGTTGTTTTTTTTGTAAAAACGAATATTTTTTGTCAAAACAATTTGAAATCTATTCTCTACTGTATTGTATAAAACTTGTAAAGAAAATAGTCAATCATAAAAATACTAACTATTCGAGATCTATCATTCTGAAAAGGAAACAAGTGTGAACATTTCATTTCCAGAGAAATCATTCGTTTTGGCAGTTTCTAATTTCATTTATATAGCATCTTTATGGACAAGTAAATGCACTAAAATACTTCGTTACGTGGTACCAATTAATAAGCATGTATCAACTATGTTACACAACCACAGATACGGTAAGGTTAATGATATGCATGGGCTATTTTTAGATTACCTCACTGCGTTCATTAGATCTAAATATAACTCGATCATGCACTAATATTCTCTGTGATTTGGTAAGCAAGACCACCCTTTGGAGACGTAACCATCCTCTATTGTATAAGGTATATATGTTAATTAATATACAAAACTAATACAGACAAAAACAATTATAAAAGAAACTAACTTTTGCGTCTTGAAAAAGAATTGAAACGTAACAATTTCGTTTATAATTTATTACGGTTTAAACCGATAAATCAAGTAAAAATAGAAATCCTATTTATATAAACAAACTGGGATTACCGAAGTAACTAAAATAGCTTAGATTTCCGTAATATTACTTCGTCTGATTCCGCAGTATGACGGATTCGCCCGAATTGTCACGATTGCAATCGGAACTACATCGGCTATAATCTTTAAACCGAAGAGTGACGGAAAGGGCCAAAAAGTTGCGATTGGCACGATTGCAGTTGGTTTCTCGTTCAATCATGCACTAACAAATGTAAGCAGGAAACCACCTAACCAGAACAAGTTTTCCAAAACAAATGGGCCAAAAATTGCACTTACAATCCACGTAAATCGCCAAAAAGAGGTCAAAAATAGCCCTAAATGCTTTAATCACGCCGTAGAAATATGGTGAATATGGTGCAAAAACAGACATAATATTCACATAACATATGAATAATTACTTGAATTTCTTAAAATCTTAGTGTGTTTCCCCAAGTTTGATTCTCTCGAAATATTTTGGCTAATCTGGTGGCATGTAGTTCTAAAACTAAAGTATGCAATTACTTCCCGTGCCGTAGGTCTTTGACAGAGGTCAACTTTTGTGTTTTAGATGTTTTAAAGTCAATGGTATTGAAATACATGTCTTACCTCCATCATCACAGTTAAATTAAATGACCCGATGCCAGTGAATCGATGAGAAAATTCGGTACCGTAACTATATTCCTTCATTGAACCATCTGCCTATCTACGATACTAAAATTTGTTTTCGTTTGTTATTTTGAGAACTTTTTCGGGAAAATATTTGAATATCGACCCGATGGCTTTTAGTATGGGTTCAATTTGGAGATGCTGGATGGTATTCCAGTTTTCCACAATACATAAAGTTATAATATCAGGACATATAATTTTGCGAAGTTCACATGTAGATCATACCTTTTGTCATATATTATGAATAATGGCCAAACTCGGATCTAAGTTCAGTTTGAGTAGCAAATATGTGTTCAGTATTTTGGGTACATAGGTGATCAGTATTTTTGGTAATGCTACATTAATTCTGATAATCTAAAAATATTTACACACATTATTAAAATTGAGTTTGTTTTCTTTTTTATTAACCTTAGTATAACAAGTAAACCGTTCTTTAAAAGTGACTCAAAATATTTGTTTCTGAGATAACTGGATGGAAAACAAAAAACCCAATGACGGGTGATGAAAGTGACACCACTATTGCAGACAAGTTTGCTATTTTATAAATCAAAATAAGTAAGATACGAGATTCGCTTAAATCATGTGACAACCAAACAAAAAAATGTAGAGTCATTTGAAATTAACTGACGATGAAATAAGAAAGCTGTTTAATTAAATGCAATCAAAATCATGTGGGAACCAATATCTTGAAAATGTTCTTGAATGAACTATTTCCTTCAATAAATAATAACCAAGCTTGTGAATCTTCCACTCAGTTAGGGCATCTTCCCTAAAAAATGTTTGACCTTTATTTATGAAGGTTGCATGGTCTTTAATTGATATACTCAAACTATCGACCATTACCTAATCTCCCTTTTCTCTCCAAAGTAATCGAAAATGCCGCGCTATTGAGATTGAATGCCCATGTCAGCGAATATAGCTTGTTACCAAAACAAAAACAAACAAACAAACAATTAAAGTTAACAAACAAACAAAGTGCTTACAAAAGTTTTCGCTCTTGCGAATCTGCGCTTTTGCGTCTGGTAAATGAAATACTTGGTGACATGGAAAGGGAGTCACAATCTTAATAGCGATCGATCTGAATGCGGCTTTTGATACATCTAACGAAGGTACTGAACAAACAGTATGGAATCTGTTCTACAGAGCTAACTCCAGACTGGATCGACTCCTAGTTGCGTTCTCGAAGTTGTAAAGTTAACGTCAATGCAGCCATATTACATGTCACGTGCACTTAAATGTAGTGTCCCACACGGAAGCTGTGTCGGTCCTTGGCTGTATCTAGCATATGCGGGGACGTTATTTGACGTCATACCGGCATCTATCACAGTGCGTGGTTTTGCAGATGATCATACTGCCAATAAACAATTCTGCCCGAGCAATTCTGGCACCGAAGGAAATGCTAAACACAAACTAAAAACAGAACAAAATAAAAATGATCGCTTCTAAAAACAGAGTTTATGTATCAAGTTTGGTAGTTAACCTCAAGTAAATAAACGGGAAACAAACTCATAGTTGTTGGTGATACCATCAAAGCAGAAAACTATGTTAGATACCTAGGGGCGTTTCTTGACGAAACATTGGATTTCAAAGAACACGTGAAAACAGAGATTTATAATACAGAGGGATAAGAAGCTCCAAAAATAGACAATATAGCTCTGGTGAAGAGAAAACGCGGCACTGCTTTTTTGAATTACATGACAGTAACAGA